GTTATGTGAAAGAGTTAAAAGAAAAATTACAAACAGTGTTTAAAGCATTTGGTCTGCTTTTTGTCTTTTTCGCAATAAATGAACATTTTGCAAGACGATAATGGAAAAATTGATTGCCCTAACCCGTTTTTAACATTAAGTCACCAAACATAAATTTGGATCTACCGATATTTAACCGCTTATATAATAGTGTTTATCTTAAATGGATAGTTTGGTAGATCAAAATTCGAATCAATAACTTTCTCAAAAATGTCCTGCACTGCTTTAATGGTACAATATTTATAAAACTTTATGTTATTAGAATAATTTAATAGCTTAATAAATTTTATTTTGAAATAACTAGATTGCTGAAAAACCTTCTCTTGCTGAATCAATTACGAAGCTTTTAGCACCTAATGGCCGAGTATGAATAGTCAAAATTCAAATTTATCATAAAAATTAATAATTACAAGTATTATTATATTAACAACAGTACAAGACCCGAAGGCAAGCCACTCCCGTTCATGAATATGTTGCAGAATTTCGTGGTTCTATGTGCAAATTTAAGTTTACTTCGGTCAAAGGTTGATAATTGAATTATTCGATTTTTCTCTCTCCCTCCTTTTTTTTTGACAATGAAACCATTTTATTTAATTTTAATTTTTAAATGTTATTAAATAGGGCATGTTTATGGGTATGTTTAAATTTTCTTTAAAAAAAAAACAAGATTCAATTAATATCTTTAGTTAATTGTTAATAAATTCTTTTCAGTTTGGAATTCTCGAAAGAATATCATAATTGGAGTATTGACCCATTGGAGTTATTTACTGCACGAACAGTTAAAGCAGAAGCTTCAAAAGTATGTTTCTTAAATATTCTTTTTGCTATTCTATCAAATTATGAGAATAAAAAAAAATAAATATTACTTTTACATATCTGATATTCTTAATTATGACCTCATTTAAATTATCTTCAGTCAGGAGGCATCTGTCATCATTTGAAACAAGAATCAAAAGGTAAGCCTTTGTCATATGACTGCAGAATTAATCTATTTTTATCTAAACATTCCATTTTAAAAATGAATAAATCAGGTGTCGATTATGTTATCCTTTGGTTGGATTGCGATAAAGAGGGTGAAAATATATGCTTTGAAGTTATTAAAAACGTTCGCGAAGGTATGAAAAAACCGCCCGATGGTCAACCAAAGGACAGTCGAATTTTACGTGCGAAGTTTTCTGGTAGGTATTAATCTTATCTTTTAAATAATGATCTTATAAACATATACTTCACGCAATTCGTTATCTTTTTTTAGCAATCACGGCAACTGATATTCGTAAAGCAATGAATAACTTGACTTTTCCAAATAAGAATGAAGCTTTAGGTTAGTACTAATGCATATATATTTGTTATCTATTTAATTATTAAAAGATCGTCCTTTTTGTTAATTATTTACAGCTGTGGATGCACGTCAGGAATTTGATCTCAAAGTAATCTATAGAATTACTATAGAATCATAATATTTAATCAATATTTAATCATAATATCTACTCATAATATCTAATAATATTTAATCATAACAACCTTTATGTACATTATATCCAATTTCAATTGTTCTTTTTTTTTTTGTTTTATATCAGGTTGGCTGTGCCTTTACACGGTTCCAAACTAGATTTTTTAACCAAAAATACGGAAACCTTGATTCTAGTGTAATATCCTATGGTCCTTGTCAAACACCTACTCTTTCTTTTTGTGTTTCTCGACACGATCAGATCAAGTCGTTTAGTCCAGAACCATTTTGGACTTTATCAGTTTCTGTAACTAAACAAGGTACTAATGGTGTGCAGTTGGGCCCTGAAATACATCTTAGTTGGGAGAGAGCTAGAGTTTTTGATAAAAACGTTGCAACAACATATCAAACTATGGTTAGAGAATGTAAAGAGGCCAAGTATGACCTTCCTTATTTCATCTATCAAATAAATGAATGCTTCAATTATCAATCTATTTTTAATCTTTTTAATCTTTCTAATCTTGCGTTACTCTTATGTCAGAGTAATATCAATTTCTATTGCGAAAAAGACAAAAAGCAGACCAAATGCTTTAAACACTGTTTGTAATTTTTCTTTTAACTCTTTCACATAAC